TTCCTCGCTCATATAAAGCTGCAAACTAAAGTTTGTGTCCATGAAATCGGTCATTAAACCACCGAAATCGACACGCAGCGTGTTCTTAACGACGTCGGCGTTTCTCGTCGTCCGCCATTAATTCCTCCAGTTGCTTAATTATGCTAGCAAGCTGGGCTAGCTTGCCTTTACGTGTATTCAGAATCCTGTTTTTTTTATCTTCCATGCCCTTTTCTGTCATATTTACAACTCGTTTCCTTTGTGGCTCTTGCATGTTAGCTTAAATCTTTCACATCCATATTAATTAGTGAACTTTGCGCACGTAGCTTTTCAATGAATTCCACTGGTCTTTTTCAGTTTTAACTGTCACACGGCCAATCCGTAGCAGTTTTTAACTTACAGTTGTTGTTTCCTTCGAATGACAAGTCTCCAAATCCATGTAGGGGTGTTCTTCTTTCGTTGTCCTTATCATCCGATCGGGTTTTGGTATCCAGTAATCCGTTTAGAGCAAGTTCTTTTTACTAAAAATTCGGGTTCTTGCTATCCTTATTGGAGCTTTAGCTTGATGCTCGTCAGACTCCGTTGTATCCAAAAACTCAGAAAAATAAATACGCTAGTCCGCTTCCTGTTTTTAACTGTTTACTAAAAAACTTTACGCAGCATTTCAAAACATAAATTATATTTCCAAAATTAAATCTTTTAAAGTCCAACGGAGCCTGGGAAGGGCGAGGTCAAAAAACAATTGTGCTCCACTCTCCTTCAGATTCCAACTGACCACGCTCTCCTGGCATGAAGGTAAATCACAAATAAAAAATATTCCAACTAAAATGAACTGCATTTAGGCTCCTACACACTTAGAAGTAAAAATTGAACTTGACAAAGATGCCAACCCAAGATTCCACAAGGCGTGCCCTGTGCCGTATGCAGTAGATAGAAGCAGAACTTGGAGGCATCCGGCATTCTCTCAAAAGTTAACTGGAGTGACTGGGCTATGTTCCTGTCATGAAGAAAGGCAAAAGTGAAGTGCATATATTTGGGGACTTCAAAGTGAGCATCAACCCGGTGCTGCGCATAGTGCAGTACCCCCTTCCACAAATCAAAGACATCTTCTCATCATTGGCTGGTGGGGAGAAGTTTTCAAAGATCGACTTGTCACAGGCCTATCTCCAGATGGAAGTGGAGGAGTCAAGCAAAAAGTTCCTAACCATCAATACACAAAAGGGACTTAACCAATCGTCTTGTGTTTGGTGTTGCTTCAGCCCCAGCCATCTGGCAAAAAGCCATGGAACAGTTGCTCCAGGACAAGAGAGAGAAATGGGAGTTTTTCAAAACTGAAATTTCATAATGCAGTCATGTCACCGACAAGCAAGGCTTGCATCAGTCACAAGAGAAAATCGAGGCAGTGCTAAAAGCACCTAAACCTGAAAATGTGTCACAACTCAGATCGTGTATGGGTCTCGTCAACTGTTACCACAAGTTTCTACCAAACCTTGCCTCAGTGCTGTATCCACTAAATGCGCTACAACAGACTGGAGTGAAATGACATTGGTCAGAAAAATGTAAAAAGGCATTCACAGAAACAAAAAGACTAATAACCTCTGACAAGCTTCTTACCCACCATGATCCATCCTGACCCATCCGTCAGTGACGCGTCCCGAACGGCATTGGCGCAGTCTTGTCACACAATGTACAATGGACTTTAACGCCCAATCGCATTCGCTTCAAGGTCCCTCTCAAGTGCCGAAAACAATTATGCACAGATAGACGGGGAGGACCTTAGCCTAGTATGGGGTATCAGAAAGTTCCACCATTACCTCTATGGCCGAAGGTTTACCTTAGTGACTGATCATCAGCCCCTAGTGTAAATATTTAATCCAAAGAAAGGAGTCCCACTTATGTCAGCCGCACGACTACATCTATGGGCCCTGTTCTTAGGAGCACACTCGTATGACATCGAGTTCAAGGGGAATAAACAACATTGCAATGCTGATGGTTTGTCACACCTCCCACTCTCAACATCTGTGGAAGAATTTTCCACACAATACTGGTGGACCAGTTGCCAGTTAGAAATGCCATGATACGAAAAGAAACGGGGAATGACCCAACACTTTCCAAGGTGTATGACATCACAGTACAAGGTTGGCCTACCCATGGGAATCCATGTTTTCCGGAGTTTTCAGCAAGACGTGATCAGCTCTCAGTCTGCCAGGGAAAAAACCTTCCCTCCACCCCGAACTTCTCATCAACAGCTCCGCAGCTCAACTCTGTGAAGTTCCTGGGCACTACCATCACCAGTGACCTCAAGTGGATGACACACTCATCCAAGGTAATCAAGCGAGCACATCAGAGGATGTTCTTCCTCAGATTACTCTGCAAGATTAAAGTTTCTCCAAGGTTCGTTCCAGTTTTTATAGAGCCACCATTGAGAGTTCCCTCACCTCCTCCATCCCTGTGTGGTACCCTGCATCCTCTGCCCACATCAAGAGTGGACTGGAGCGCATTGTGCGCACAGCGAGCCACATCACAGGCCTCTAAACAGATTCTGGCAGAGGGCTAGGAGGATAGAGGAGGACCCATCTCACCCAGCTCACTCCCTGTTCACACCCCTCCCATCAGGTCAAATGTTCAGATCAATATGGACCAAAACTACCAGGCACCCTCTTAAATAAGGACATCTCAGCCCTCCTGCCACTTCTACAGACAGCTAAGGATACAGTCACCAAAAAAACCCATAACATAACATATGTACGTTTTCACTATTTTCAAATTTGTTATTTAAATTGTCCTGTTGCGCTGGGATATCAGGTCAAATTCCTGTGAACATTTGGTCAATCAAGCTATTTCTGATTCTGATTATCCCCCTGAACTGTACACAACACATGACACTGAATCTCATGTAGTCACTATTTCGTTAAGGTCACATTATCCTGCACATAATGGCTACACATGTCCATTGTGCCAGGGTTGGACTGCCTCCCTCAACCCTTTCCATGATTGGCCTCCCACTGTTGGTCTTTTTGGTCAGCTCCTCTGCAGGTGTAAAGACATCAGGTGCCTTCCCTCCACCTGTACACTTCACACTCTTTTCTCGTTAGCTGGAAAGAAATATGCCATCAACAGGCAACTTTGAGCATATATCTTTTTAATCATGTTATTTTTATAATTTACATTTTTTTTAGACATAGACATGTTTAACGGTACCACCAGCTTGTTGAGGGAAAAAGGATGTAACACAAATACCAGATTTTCTTAGTAATAACAAAAAGTTATTTAGTAACAAAGAAAAATTAAATGAATGAATACAAAAGCGGCAATAAAATACCAAAAAAAGAAGCAAAAACAACTGCTTTAAAACTAGCGTATCCTAGGCAGTACAAAACACCTCAAACCATGACAGAATTATTCAAAACAGACCAACTAAAATCAAAGTACCACAGCACAGTTTCAAAACATCCATCCATTTTCATAACAGCTTATTCCCTAATGGGGTCAAGGGGGACTGAGGCCTAAACCAGTAGTGAATGCTTGAGAGCCGGGGTACACCGGCCTAGACGGTCCGCCAGTCCATTGCAGGGCCACACAGAGATGAGCAACCACACACACCCACTCCAAAGGGCAATTTGGAATGTCCAATGAAGCTAACATGCAGGTTTTTGGATGATGGGAGGAAGCCAGAGAACTTGGAAAGAACCCATGTAGACACAGGGAGAACATGCAAACTCCACAAAGAAAGGTCCTGGTTCCCTCGAGGACTCGAATCCCAAACCCTTTTGCTGTGAGGTGATGGTGCTAATCAACACACCACGTGCTGCCCTGTTTTAAAACAGTATCCTCCAAAGTTACACAGAGATGGGAGCAGGGCACCAAAAATATGCTCCACCGTTCTACAGGAAAAGAAGTTGGAGCTTGTGGGAGCCACAAGGAGAGAGAATAGCTGACAATTCCATTTTCTCTGAGGAAGTTCATTCCTTTCACAGAGAGTTGAGAAGAGGGGTTGCCCAGCATCAGTAGGACTTTTACACCCACTGAGGCCTTTGTGTGGTGCTGGAAATGTTTCAGGAATTGTAGGAAATTTTCCTCAAGCATCCACCCAAAAGGATTTCCAGCTCTAATTAATCCAGGTGGGCCATTACAGATTAAATGGTCTTTAAAATTGGACATGGAGAAAGATGAAGAGAGGTGGAATCTTGCTCTCCAATGCATTGGAGCCACTGTCACAAGTGTCACTCTCTTTCTGGATAATGCTGACCCTACCTGTTTGATGACCCGCTTGGCAACTCCATGATGTGGTTCTTGTACAATTTAAAAAACATTCTCTTCTGCATTTGTTAACTTTTATTTATTTGTTCATTATTTTTATTGTACACAACTACCATTTTTAAACTAGCTATGCTAGCTTAAAGCATTTGTTTTGGCCCATGGTGCCTAATGCATAATTGTGCTGTGTAGAATCCAGACCTGTGTACAGATTTCCAGTGCAAGCATTAATGTTCCTTAAAGTTCTGGTACTAAACTCCACCTTCTTAATGGAAAAAAATAAAATTTGTTGTGATAATATTGGCCCGATACATGGTAATGTTCTTTCGAGGTCAATGGTTGAAATGGAAGGTTTTTCTTTGCAAACACAGCAGATCATACCTCATTATACCAACAGCTACAGTCAAAAGAAAAAAGTTTGACATAATTCCTGTCCCTCTATGATGTACTGTATTCTTTAAAACATCAAATTATCTATTTTGCATCTATTTCAGGTGATCCTTCATTACTCCAGTATATATTTTAGTTATCTTTTAATTGATCAAAGCTAAACAGATAAAAAATTAGATAAATGTTTCTGGCTCCATGTGCATCCACATATAAAGTTATTTCTTTCATTATTATTTTTAAACAAGTCGGTTAGATTGTGGTGATAGAACGTATTGGTCTTTTCTGGATATATTTATTGGTAATGGCATTCTTTCATCTTTGATCACACTGAAATTATAACAATAAAATAAGTCATAGTAGGAACAAAGTGTATACAAATGATTTCATTTTATTATTTTTCCATGCAAATAATTGTTCTTTTAAATACAATGACAAGTTAATTTAACAATTTTAAATACATTCTTACGAAAAACAAATACCTGACTTGTAACACTAACAAGAGCTCCAGAAAAACCCAAGCATGTAGTTCTTCAACTTTCAACCAGCACTTTGAACCACCAATAGATTGTATTTTTTTCAAGGTTTAAATACAGAATTTACTTTCAAGTTTGAAAACATGAATCAGCAACACTTGAAAAAAACTAAACAAAAACATTTCACTTGAAAAAAAAACATTACTGAATCTCAGGTTTGACAGGTCACATCAGGAGCAGGACATGTATGGTTCTGTATGTATGCAATACCAATTTAAAAACGAAAAGATCAAAACATAACCTTTTGTCTGTTAGTTGATCACAGCTTTATAAAACACAGGTACAAAGCTGATTGTTGACCTTTATTAATGTCTTCCAAGGAACCGATGATAACATTTGCTGCAGGTGGATGTTCTTTAATCCAGGCGGATTTGCTTAAAGTAAATCCTATGGAGTGATGTTATTTACTTACGTGAAATATAATCCTTGTAAAACGTAAAATCCATCACAAGTAAGCCAAAGGAAGACAGAATTTGAATGCAGCATACTAAAAGATCATAAAAATTAAAATAAGCATTCAGGACAATTCTGAGACCCTAAAAACATAAAGTATGATTTTCTATGAAACCCACATTTAGTTCTTATCATGAGCCAGTCTGGAAGACGACAACCAAATTAGGACCAACTCTTGTGAACCATCTCATGCCAGTGCATGAGTGCTTTTTTCTGAGTCTTGGAGACGCTTTTCTTTGCTTCAAATCGCTGTCCACCCACGTATGAAAATATCCGTTTGTGGTTTGTGTTCATATGTCCACTATGTCACAATTAAATATGCATTTTTGCTTTATGCAAGACTGGTTGTTTATTAAAAAAGGTTCTGATATGACTAAAACTGGCATTCACTATCTATTTTCCATTTCACTGGTAAAACTCAAGTTTCTTCAGTTCTTCAACTTCCATTCAAGTCGATGCAACCAAATGTTTCATTGAGGGCTTTTTTTTAAACCCTTCTGTATACTGACAAATAGATTACAAAGAACTATAGAGCACCCCATTGATCAGTTGGTGGAAAATCATTTACTTCCCCCAATTCTGTGAATGGCTGCTCTTCCAACATGAAAGTCAATTTGTATCTCATCCGAACCTTTTCCTGGAAGAAGTAAAAAAGTACAAGCATGACCTAAAGCAGGCTAAAACAAGTGCAGAAAAAGGAATTAATCACCAAATGCAAAAAAAAAGGGCAGAAACACCTCAGACAGAGAAGTACCTTGAGAGGATTGGTAAGCAGCACAACCTGAGTGATGGCAGGAGGCGGAAGAATTGGATTAAATTGAGCCAGCTCTGTCCCTGAAGGTGGCTGCAGCTTCACTTTCATTGTCTGGAAATCATAAGAATAATCACAATCAAAGCAAACACAAGAAACTTGTATTAACAAATGGACCAAACACAGGCAACATTCTAATTTCAACAATTACACTGATCCATTATTAAAACAACGAGCAGTGTCGACCATATATTTCATTTCTGCCTTCATTAAAATAACCTTTTCAAGTATTTGGAACAGTAGAGATAGGTCTGTTAGTGAAAATTTTCCATTCCATCCATCAATTGTCCACCGATTAATGAGGTCAGGTCGCGGTTGCAGCAACTTGAGCAGGGAAACCCAGATTTCCCTCTCTCCTGCCACTACAGCCAGATCTTCCTGGGAAATTACAAGGCGGACTCAGGCCAGCCAAGATACATAGTCCCTCCCCCGTGTCTTTGGTCTTCTTCTGGGTCTCCTACAAATGGGACATGCCCAAATGACCTCACCAAGGAGGTGTCCGGGAGGCATCCTTATCAGAGGCCCGATCCATCTTAGTTTCCTCCCATTCTTCCCAACCACACCCCTCCAAGTATCACTGTCATTGCCCACATGAGCATTGAAGTCCCCCAGTAGAACAAGAGAGTCCCCTGGCGGGGCGCTCTCCTGCACTCCCGCCTAAATAATAACAAACGTAACAAACCTTTCACCGCTGGAAGGTGAAGGGAGGCTACCCTCTCTTTCACTGGGGTGAACGCCAATGTACAGGCGCCAAGATCTTTAGCCCCCACCCCCCCATTCTTTAGTTTTGAGAAACTTTGGTGTTGCCTTAACATGATATTTGGCTAAGATGAACCTATTTAGTGGAACTATTACTTAAAATCAAAGTTGGTAATCTACAATTTTATTATGTCTGTATTTAGAGGATTTAGAATTTCACAGAGAGACAGAGAGGGTAAAAAGTAATATTGTACCAATTTTTATGGAGGGCTCTGTATGATAAAACATTGTGTACTGTGATACTTAATTTTTACCCTGGGCACAGCCGCCTGCAGAACAATGTTCCTGACTGGCTGTGGAGCTGTGCTGAGCATGGATACCACAATGACTAGAACGTCAGGCCTGCCTGGTGGACAGTTGCTGGCAAAATGTAGCAGAAGACGAACACCATTTTTGTCATATGCTGTCACAGGGCACACTTTACCTACAAAACAAAGCATAATAGAAAAAGGTCCATTACCAGCAGAAAAAGGTCTTCACCAGCAGAACAATACCCCGGACATACACTGACATTAAAGTCGAATTTATATCTCATGCTGTTCTCAGTGTGATCCATTTTAATAAAGAACCAATGTTTTGCTCAGAACATTTTTGCTCCCTTCAAACCACATAAAACAAGTCAATGATAAATGTTGGTAAAATAAAATCTAATCTTCTTTTATTCTTTCAGTGAGTTTGACACACCACTAAGTGGCATTTAAATCCAACAATCAGCTTTAAAACCACCAATCATCCATTCATCCATCAATTATCTGTAGAAATTATTTCCAACTGGGTAGCAAAGTGCAAACCCATCTGAAAACGGGCGGGAGGCGGGGTACACCATGGACATCTCGCTAGTCCATCGCAGGGATACACAAAGACCAACAACCACACCCATCTGAAAACGGGCGGGAGGCGGGGTACACCATGGACATCTCGCTAGTCCATCGCAGGGACACACAAAGACCAACAACCACATACACTCATATTTACTACAAGTGGCAATTTCGTGTGTCCAATTAACCTAACATGTATGTTTTTGGACAGTGGGAGGGAACTGGAGGACCCGGAGGGAAACGAAAAAGACTAAGGGAGAACATGCAAACTCCACACAAAAATGTCCTGGTCCCTGGGGACCAGTAACACTCTTGCTGTGAGGCAACAGTGTTAAACCGTGCCATCAGCTACCAGTCAATCAAAGAAAAGTGTTTTTTTTTACCCAGAAACCCACATGCCTTCAAATGATAATTTAAAATAATTTCAAACATGACATGAGACTAACTTATGTCAGTGGAATAAGATTTAATAATATATCATGTTATATTATGATGAGGGCGGCACGGTGGTGCGGTGGTTAGCACTGTCGCCTCCCAGCAAGAAGGCTCTGGGTTCGAGTGCCAGGGGACCCAGGACCTTTCTGTGGGGAGTTTGCATGTTCTCCCTGTGGGTTCTCTCCGGGTACTTCGGCTTCCTCCCACAGTCCAAAAACCTGTATCTTAGGTTGATTGGATATTCCAAATTGCCCTTAGGACTGAGTGTGAGTGTGCATGGTTGTTTGTCCTTCTATGTCTTGTGTGTGGCCCTGCGATGGACTGTCCAGGGTGTACCCTGCCTCTCATCAATTGACTACTGGGATAGGCTCCAGTTCTCCCCGCGACCCCATTAGGGAATGAGCGGTAACAAGTGAAATAAAGGAAAAACATTTTGGCCCGTGTTAATTTTGAGATGTGAATTTCTTTCTTTGATGACAAGTCACTTACAGCTCGGCTTGGCCGTTAAGCTCTTCTTGTCACTATAGAAGTGAAAAGATGTTGAACTGACTTCCAAAATGTAGTTAAATGTATTCCTTTTGGAACTCACTTGGCTTGATGGCCTCCAGAGGGACAAACACTTGAGTCAGAGAATCCTCTTGTCGCCTGCCAGGACTGGCTTGGTCCAGAAGGAGAATCGGGGACAGAGAGCGTAACAGAGGTCCGGCATCTGCATGGCTCTTGGTAGTTGATGGAGAAGGCAATCCTCGCTCCACTCCTGTGATCAGTGAGGAAGATGACGTGGTGGTAGCACCAAGACTGGAAAGGAGCAGCAGGAGCAATCAGAATCTCACTTAGTTTGTACAAGAACAGGGATATGCATCCTCTGTGACATCATCAGCCGCCATTTAAAATTAAGTTTGAACTTCCTTACAAGCATTACATAAATATACCTTTGGCGTATAGTATTTAATAATATTAATTTTAAATAATCCCAACTGATCAGAGGGAATGAATACAACTTGTGGGAAATATTATAGGCTCATTTTAACAGGAGAAAAATTCCCAGAAATATCCAACAGTGATGTGAACACTCGAGGGACAATTCCTTCAAGGTTTATGGGACATTTTCAGAGTTGTCATAATTTTAGAAGCTATTGAAGACATATACTTAAGATTTCCTCCAAAGACAGATGAGGTTTTAAACATTTATTCAGATCAGCCAGTACTATTTTGAAAACAAGAACCGTTAATTGATTACTACAAATTATAAGCCACAGAGCAAAACATTTATATGAAACAGATGAATGGAAGAACACAGTCTATTCAGTTTTATCTCATAGCACATTAATTACTCACTCATTACTCATAAGATCCAACATGGCAAGGTCTTGCAAAGTGTGACTGAGAGAGTAAGGTAAGTCGAGTGGTCCTGGTACAGTGCCAGCCTTTTGCGAGGTCGCCAAATGCTCAGGTGAAGTCATGCTGAACAACTGAGGAAGAGGAGCTGGAGCCATGGCGGTTGGTGCTGAATTCAGAGGTTGTGGGAAAATGGCCGTCCTTGTAGCAGGGGGAGGTGTGGGAAACACAGGGCCAGGGAAACTTATGGTAGAGGCAGCTGTAGATGTTTTGGTAGGATCATTTACAATGAGGGAATGTGTTGAGTGGATTGGAACTGTGGGCATACTGGAGCCAAAAACATCCAAGTCTTGACTGGAGCCCTAGAATATTTAAATTCAATTAAAATTATTATTTAAAAAAAAAAAAAAAAAATGGGGGGTGGGGAATTAATTACGAGATTAAAGTCGTTATTAAAAATGGCGAAATAAATGACGACATTAAAGTCGTCATTAAATATGGCAAGAATTAATTATGAGATTGAAGTCATTATCGATTATGGCAAGAATAAAACCCCTCTGAATGGCCTGCATCCACCAATAACGCTCCAGTAGACCACTTTGAGCCATTCCCCCATCCACAAAAGCCCCTCTATAAATCCGCCTAGTTCTTTCTGGAAAAACGATGCATTTTGTCGCATGTTCTTTTTAACGTCCTGATACTTCTGGCAACCTGATTCTGATGTGCCAAAAGATAAAGTATCTCTATTCTAACCTGTTCTAAAGCACATTTCCATCAAATGCGTCAAGACCCTAATTTTTCAACTCTCGTCTTCTAAAACAGTATAGAATATTTAAAACTTCATTCTTGTAATTTAAATTTAATGCTTTTAATCCCGTAAATAATTCTCGCCATATTTAATAATGTTTTTAATCTCCTAATTCTCGCCATATTTCACGACTTTAATCTCGTAATTAATTGCAAAAAATACGTTTTTTTAAAGTGGCCCCTAATTCTCCGTCGTATATACAGTTATCTTTAAAAAAAGACAGAAAATTAAACATGTAAGAATGCATTATAGTTAATTTTAGTACCTGTAAAGATGTCAAATTACTTGCGTTTCCATGAGTTGAGTCACTGAGAACAGGGCAAAAAGGTTTGTTGCGGCCTGTGAATGGATGCAAATATTAAATTAAAATATAAAAAGATCTTCAAATGATAAAGCAGAAGAAAAAGGATTAAACTATACCATACGTCTTATACCTAAAGACAGCAGCTCTTCATCAAACTGGGACAGTGATGTAGAGGGAGCATTCACACCCTCAGATTGGCCTCTTGGGGCTACCAGGTCACAAAGCAGTTCAGCTGGAAAACGCAGAGAAGATGCTGAGGGTTCCTCCATGGGTTGAGAAGGGGACTGAAAGTCGATACCCACCAGATCGATGAGAACCTCTGACTGGTTTGTGCTTTCAGTGCCTATGAGCCAGATATGGAGAAGAAAGACAGAAAAACAACTGCACTTGAAAAATCTTAAATATTTTTTTTTTTCAAAACTCAACAAAAACACACACATATGCACTGAGACTGACAGAAGTGCTAACCTGTTAAGCTATATTATCATTACCGTTGGTTTATAGAGTGTAAATGTGTGATAACACAACTTTTACACAGGTCCATTTTGGGGACGCTAGCTCAGAGTCTAGAGATCTGTTATTTTTCCCTTGTCTGATATGCATCAAACATTCATATCAAACAGTATCAAAAATACATGATGGGGTAAACTAATGAGGCCATAAGAACAATTATCACCCCACTGTCAGATACATTTTCAGACAAAAAAATCAAATTCAATTAACAAAAAAAAAAAAAAAGGTTCCATCCATGGTGTGTTTCCACAGTAATCTACATACGCAAAAACACATGCTGTCAGTGATATTCGCTTTTTTGCGTCCCAGATGAGTGTGCCCATTGTCATTTTTATCTGTGCAGTCAAAGCTGAAAGAGCTGTTATTTCATTTCAGTTTCCCCATAACTGTCTTCCACTTATAATAAATATTTAGATATTTGTGTTTTTAAAAAATAAATAACAGAGGGAATAAATATACTACTTAGCTTTAACCATTTCTACAAAACCAAATTTTTCTTTTTTCTTTAAGAAAAAAAAAACGTATGAAATATTATGAGTCACATTCCGACAGTAGTTAGTCAAGCTAACCTTGATCTCTAATACAAACAAATGTTTTTTTTTTTAAAAGGTGGAACTGACTTGTTATCTCACCATCTCTGAATCACAAAAATTAATCTCTTCATTGACTTCACAAACACGTTTGGAAGGAGACTGCAGTAAAAGATTTCAGAAAAAAATATGTTTCCTTATTTTTTAAATATCTTTTTAAATTCTAAAGTAAGAACAGCTGCTAAGAGACTGGGGCAGCATTGTACTTCCATAGAGAGGCTATAATTACTTTTAATTATGATATTTATAATAAGATTTATCTATCATTAGTTTTATAATAAAGACTTTTTTAAAACTTTCATTAGGAGTGACGACGCATTAGAAAATGAATAAATTAAATACTAGCCCTAACCTGTTTGCAGTATGGCAACTGTATTTTAAGCAGTTGATCAGTTAGGAAACACAGTACTGGTACAACATATCATCCCTTACTGTGATGTTCAATTCTACCTTGTGTGACTCGGTTTTGCATCTGTTCTGCAGATTCAGCGTCTCCGTTGATGCTGTGCCCTTCCACAATTTTCTTATAGGAACCAATAACATGGGATAGGTCATCACTGGCCTGTAAGATTTCACCTAAAATTTGAATTTGAAATTCATTCAATCAGAAAGGAACACCAAAGAAAGATGTAACCAGTGTCAACAGCATCAAATGACATGTCTTCCTACCCAAGCTACTGTCATCATCCTCTGTCTCAGTGGCAAGCGTAAACACAGTTTGCCTGAGCTTGTCACAATCAATGTACAACTCCTGAAAATAAAGAAACGATGAAGATTCCTTTTAAAATCTCAATCACAACATGTTCATGCTTATGTATGAATTCATATTTTATCTTTAAAAAGGGTTTTACCCCCACCTTTCTGTTTCTGTCATGTCATGGTTTATCACCTCCAAAACATATGACCACACATATGACCAGTACATTCAATTGACAAAGAATGAGAAAAAAAATGATCTGTGAAGATTCTCAGTCATCCAGGTCATGGTCAAGCTTGAAAGTTCAGTAAGGCAACTGGATGTGAAGTTTTCTAGAAGACGTTTCGCCTTTCATCCAAGAGGCCTCATCAATTCTAACTGATGGTGGGGAGCACTGAGATTAATATACTGTAAAAAAATAATTAGTGAAAAAAAAAAAAGAAAAAACAATAGGTGGCTCTGATCCCTCTTACTGGATGGACCATTGAGGTCACCTGGGGGGTGTTAATGGTCATTAGGGGGTTCTGATAGGTCGTTGACTCCATCGTCAGGGTGGTTTCGGTCACATGCCTCTTTGAAGTGTAAGTCAGGTGAGGGCAGGTGAGAGGTGAACTTTCTGGGTATTGTTCCTAAAAGTGCTCTGTAAGTAGGTGACAGGTTGTGTGTAAGACCACCTCCTCTGTTAGGTGATGGTTCGTCCAAGTTAACAAAGATGACGTCCTTAACCACTCTCTCAAACCATCTGTCTTTCCTGGCAAAATTGTGGACGTTAATGTCCTAAAAAGAGTGTCCTTTAGCCTTCAAGTGTAGGTGAACAGCTGAGTCCTGTCCTATAAAATTGGCCCTCACGTGTTGAGCCATGCTTGTTTGGTCTCTCAAATGTACAGCTCTGTGCACTTTTCACTACACTGAATGGTGTAAACCAGGTTGTCAGTCTTTGGAGTGAACCAGTTTTTGTCTCAGGGTGTTGCCGGGTTTTAAATGCACAGGGATCTAGTGCTGGTTGAAAATCCTCTGAAGTTTTTCAGAGACCCCAGCAACATATGGAATGGCAATGTTCCTTCTTCAGTTTTCTTCCCTCTCAGCAGGCCTCTTGTTGGTTTTTAAAAAAAGTCCATCTGGGATAACCACAGGTCTTCAAGATTGTCCTGATATCTCCCTGTTCTATCATCTTCCCTTTGTTGGTGGTGGGAATTGTTTCTGCTCATGTCTGGAAAGTTCTAATGACTCCTGTTGTTCCAGTGGGTGGTGAGAGTCAAAACGGAGATACTGGTCGGTGTGTGTGGGTTTCCTGTAGACTTCTATGTTGAGTTGTCTGTCTTCAATGATGTGAACCGCGCAGTCCAGGAAGGCAAGGCTGTCATCTTTCACGTCTTCCCGTGTGAACTTGATGTTTCTGTCCACTGTGTTGATGTGATCCGTGTACGTGTTGATATCCTTGGTCTTTATTTTAACCCATGTGTCATCCATGTATCCGAATCAATGACTGGGTTTAGTTCCCATGTATGAATGTAGGGGTCTGCTTTCCACTTCACAGGAGAGCCCATCGCACATCCATGCTTCTGCCTGTAGAAATCATGGTTGAATTGGAAGTATGTGGTGGTGAGACTCAAGTCCAAAAGAGAACAGTTGTGGTCAGTGGTTAGGTTAGTCCTATCTGGCAGATTGTGGTCTTGAAGTAAGTGCATTCTTACTGTGGAGACTGCTTCTATGGTAGGGATGGAAGTAAAAAAAGATGTGACTTCTTAGGAAACCATGGTCTCATCTGTGTCCAGTGTCAGGTCCTTTATCCTGTTGGAGACGTCCTGTGAGTAAGCAATGTGATGTGGTGTGTTGCCAACCAAAGGAGCAAGGATGAAAGCAAGACATTTGGCAATGTTGTAAGTGACAGAGTTTATGCCCCCCCCACTCTTTTGTTACACCACAGTATATTAATCTCAGTGCTCCCCACTATCCATCATAACCTCTTGGATGAGAGGTGAAAGGTCTTCTAGAAAACCTCATATCCAGTTGCTTAACTGCTAACTGAACTTTCAAGCTCGATGAGAAAAATTGTTGAGGTTTGTCAATTAAATAACAGAAATTCATACCCTGAATTCCATAGCTTGGAGGAGAGCATTATCATTATTTCAAAATGTTAACTACTCAACAACAGTTATACTCCAAAGAACAGATAAATACCCTCAGCCAATATAAATGTGCAACTTTAAACAAATATGGGATGACACCGCTAGCATGTGCAAACTGAGCACCCTGGACTGCCCTGGGATTGTATGCATAGCATTTTGAATTTTAAGTATTTCCAAAAACTCAGTCCAGAAAATCCATCTTTTTAAAATGGTCATACAAGCCTTATCGGTCTTAACAAACCTTAATGAGCTCCTTATCGCCTTCAGTGGAGTTGTCTGGGCTGAAGTGAGCCAGCATCTCATTAAGGAGTTTGACACTATTGTTGACTGCCTCCAGTGTGCTTTTTTGCTTTGCAGTTCTCTGCATTCTCACCTCATCCTAAAATACAATACAACAATACCATAGCTGAAGTTAAAAGAGGAAAATTTGCATGAAAGAAAGCAGCCTGAAATCTGACTTGACTGACACACCTCTTTGACCATGTTCTTGATGAGGCGATTTGCCTCTTGCAGATCTTCGGGCTTTTTGCTCTTCAGAAGTTCAGATAATCTCTTAAAATAAGAAGAGAACAACTACTGATGGTGTATTTTCATCAGATCAAAATGCCAGCATCAAACCCATTCTAGTCTGTCATTCTTAAAAAAACCCAACTTAATCCATTTGTCAGCGGCTCTAAATGTTTTTTTGAGAACCAAACGATGACCCAATGAGTTTAGTGGTGGTGTCAGAGATGCACATATATTTTGCGATAACTCAACCACCATTTAAAATCGAGAGATAAAATATTTTCCAAGAAAATAAAAAACAAAGGTCATTAATTTATTCTTTTAAGGAGAGTCCTTGATTTCTTCCTTAGCTTTATACATACAACTAACTGATTAAACTAGTTAAATGGTGTATTTCTTTCCCACCGAAGAAGTTGTGCCTGTAGTCGTAGTTGTGATGGTTCATTTATTCAGGCTTGGCCTTTTACTTAGATTTTTTTGTTTTGTTTTTATCTGAGGTGGAGATTTGTACCCGTTTTCTCTTATCAAAATCCTAAAAAAATAAACATGCCCCCAAACAAATAAAATCAAACCTGTAATGGAACCTCATAAAACCCCTTTAAATAAGATGGCCTTTTTTTCCCTCTTCCCGCAACTGCTTTCCCAATGTATTCTTTTGGTTCTGAAGATTTCCCCTGGCGCCGAAAATGGCTGCCTCGGTGTTTTCACCAAAGCAAATTCCTTGTATGTGAAAACCTACTTGGCAATAAACCTAATTCTGATTCTGATTCTGATAAACTGAATATTTATAAAGATTTAACTGAATTTATTTAAACTGGTTACTTGTGAACTTTCACCAGTTCAGTAGAGCCAATTACCAATCATCTACCAAAGTTGGCCAATTCCTTAAATGTCGAAGGATCAATTGAAATGTCTACCATCTCATGAAATTATCCAGATCTAAGCTAAATCTGATTGGCTGTCGTCGATAGCAATGTATGAATTATTTCAAAAGGTATAATTTGTGAGGCCAACATGCATCCCTGCCTCTGATAGTTAGTCAATATATTAATAAAAGTAATAATTTCCAATTGGCATTGTAAGTTGGTATTCTGTGTTGTATTTGGTAAAAATCCACCGTTTTAACCCTGAGTCAGATGGAGAAACCAACTGAGTGACTGATTTTCTGCTTCTAAATTCAGATAAAAACATTTTTTATCTTTGGACTTAAGCACCTCAGCATGAAACTGTCCAACTAGTTACTGTAGATGGATTCTTGTAAAACATTGGGGAACCTTACAGAATCTATCCTTTCAATCATAAAAAGCTGGTGTTTAAGAGTGCCTTTCCTCAACTTCACAATATTGAAAAAATGAGGGACATCCGTTTCAAAATGTATCTGACAAGTCTCTAGCTGATCCAAAATGCTGCAGACAGAGTTCTTGTGAAAATTTGAAAACAAGATCATATTAGTAGTTTTAACTTCTCTTCACTAGGTCCCTGTTAAATTCAGAATGGAATTTAAAATTCTGCTCCTCGCATTACTTAATGATCAATCACCATCATATCTTGATGACCTCACAATTAGATATTTTCTAACAGTGCAATTCAGGGCATTCTTATGGAACCAGTTATGAGTACATGTCCAAGAAGTAGCCAGAGAAGGGAAAGCTTAACACTTTTTAGTCAGTGATACCTTACAATACCCTGATACATCCCATAGCTATGCTACTATAGGCCTAAACTGCAAGGATACCTCAAATGATTAATATTTCCTACCTTCGTTCTCATTTTTCCTCCATGCACATGTGACATTGTTTTAAATAAGTTGTTTTTCACTTTCTCTGTTGGTATTCTCAAGATATTGTGTTTTTGTCCCTTTTTCTTGTTCCCTGAAACCCCAGCTGGTTGAGGTGGATAGGTCCCTTTCCATTAATCTGGTTTTGGTAGAGGTGTCTATTGCAAAGGATTTTCTATTTTTTCTCCAGTTAACTTTTGCATGCTCTGGATGGAGAATTGGATTAATGCTTAAGTTCCCCCTCCCCCCAAAAAAAAGTCAGGGAAAAAATTATTTTCTTGATATATGTACAAGTAACTGTGACAAAAAAAAACCAAAAGCACAAAAAATCAATTTTATGGTTCACATACCACCAAATGGTTTCTTACCTTGCTCTTTCTCTCATCATCAAACACAGGATTCTTGGGGCGGGGAGAAGGTGATGGTATTAACGTGGCATCTGCTGAGATTTCTGGGTCAACTAAAACAATACCTAAAATGAAAAATAACAAAACAAAAGTACATCATGGTAATAACTCAAGAATACACAAATACACTTTAAGAATAATGGCAAGAACGGTTACACATGCAGGTTGATTTAAAGTGTTGGACCCACCCTGTGACTTCAGCATTTGATAAGCCTCACAAATCTTTGTTTCATCTGGTAGAGACACTGTCCATGCATACAACATCTCAATCACTTTCTTTCTCACTTTTTCTGACACTCTTTCTCCAAGGTACTGGGGTGGGAAAGAAAAAAACAACAAACACACTTCTAAAAACAACCCCAAACATCAGTTGAGATAAAATCTTCATTATATAGGTTTTCAATTTGTATGTTGCTTACTTTGGGGGACACCACCTTAATTAATTCATTTAAAAATTTAAACTTCCCAACTTCGCTGTGAAACCGTCGGCCACAGTTCTTCATGCATGCTTCCAAAACCTACAGAAGATTAGAAAACAAAAAATAAATAAAAAATCTGTTCGCTTCGCTTTCATTTTCATGTTTTGGAACATTCAAATAAGAAATGCAGTGAAATAACTAAGGTACGGACTGTCAATCCCTGGAGCGCTTCCCATTCTTGAGGGGACTGAATCTTGTGTGCCAACAGTCTGACCGATATTTGTGGGCTAAATCACATAAAAACAAAGGATGTAACATAAAGCTCACAGAATTTAGCACAACACATGATCAGTTTGATTATATGTTAAATCACTTGCGAGGGGTTCAACGTGGAAATACCCTTCTAGCTCCTTGTTGATTTGGTCACAGAATCCAATTATATACTCCCAGTCTTCCTGTCTGTTAGAAAGGTTGGTGGCTTTATCTGAAAGAAAAAAGATACTGCCTTAAAACGAAAATTCGCGTGCACGTTTACCATAACTGTTTAATCCATGTCCTATCTCACCTCTAACATTTGCTTCGTTGCACAGTAAATAAATGTTAACGCCTGAGTATGTGGTTGACGACGAACAAGGTACTTCACTGACCAGTTTGTATGGGATCTTTTGGACTTCGGAAAGGTTTGGTGCTTGTGCAACATTATAATATTACTGCTAAGCCTACCGTTGGAACAACAACGACACTATAGCTTACTCAAACGTAGGGTAAATATATAAGCAGGGAATATTTAAGTTGAATGTCAGCCTTGATAAGGGCGTATTAAATTCCCTCAGTTCCTTTTAGCTGTGTTAGCCTCTTCTTACAACACGGATCACTTTGCACTGTAGTATTCAGACACGGTGATGTCACGTCAATCCAACAAATTATTAGGAACTATACAACACAACAGCACAAACCAGCACGCTTGTAAAATGGAATGTGACGTGAGAAAACAGTAAAGAATGTACTTACTAAGCCAAGACTCCAATGACTCCCCATCTTCCGCCATATTTGTTCTCTCAGAGCTAAACAACGCGTGACTTGTGCTGCATTCACGTGTGTCCAGACAAATAAGCCTCTGTGCTTATTTCATGGACGACAGCGTCGAAAAGTAAGTTACACTCTGAAGAGGTGCAACAGAAGACATGTCTTTCACTATACTGTTAGAAATATTCTTAGATTATATTTCAGTGATTGATTAATCGAAAAGTTATTCACTGTGTGAAATTTATTTTGTTGTCTTGAAATGTATTACATTTGTGTGGGGAAGGGTGGTTTTGGATGGGGCATTTTTCTTTGTATAAAAAGAAAATCTGAAAGTAAAATACATTCAAACAAATAATTAGATACGTTTTTGATTTAATGGAGTTTAGTTAATCTGAAAACTCAAAGCTTTTACCATACAAACTGTGTGGTTCCAGTAGTTCGGTTAATTCCAATCCTTGGGTTGATTCTTTTCCTTCATCTCACAAAACATGTTGTTCTGGGGACGTGAACATGCGAAAGCCTATGAGATTTGTGGACTTCCCCAGAGAATGCATAATTTAATACTTAGGTGTTTTGCACATGGTTCTTTAAACCAAAAAGAGGTCCATTTGTTCTTATTAAATTTCTTAGGACACCCTGATCTGGATTACTGAGAATGTACAGTAGCAAGTAAATAAGCCCAAATGAAAAGACATGTAACATATAAATTCAAGGCTTGTTTATTCTCCTATTGTCAGGAATTCTCTACTCAACTGTGACCCCACTTCCATCTCTGTGACTGACACCAGAATCATTTCTGCCATCATCTTAATTTCCATATACGTAAAAATGAAGTTAAAAGGCTTTGGAAGTGTTCTTTATCAAATTCCATGCATTCTCACACAAAAATATATCACATTTTCTCCAAAAATTAGTGTTTCTCACCAAGTTATGCACAAAACAGGATTTCTTTCTAAATTCACAGTAATGAATAAAAACTAGATATACCGTAGTTAGAATTGGGCTATAGTTACTCGTTTTAGTATTGTATGCTATAACATAATCCATGTAAATGACTGATTGTCTTAATCCTTTTAGAACTACCGTATACTCTTGTGTTAAACTCTCTGGCAGTGCCCACAGATTCTCCTTCTCTCTCTGTTACAGTAAACTTCAAGGTCAACATTCACACACACACTTTCCTATCACATTCCACTGAAATCTGCATGAATTAGGGGCTGGCCTGTTCATGTTCAGAGGTAACTGGCAATTAACACTCGGTTGCGTCCAGCCGTCCATCACACTTTAAAAACATATCATAGTTTCTAACATTAATAACAAATGAGTGTCTTTCATCTAGTTATAAACAAAACTGGATTTTTGTCTAATTCATATTATTGACTCAAAACTAGATCAAATTACATTGTAAGTGTTCTTTATCTCATCCCATGTCCCAGAGAAAATTTCAGTTGCACTGACTTGCTGTCGAATGATTTCCACATCAATCAAATAATTAGTGTGTCTCACAAAGTTTTGCACACAACTGGATTTTTTTTAAACTTCAAAATAATGAATCCAAACTATTTAAACTCACTTTGTAAGTGTTCTTTATCAAATTCCATGCATTCTCACACAAAATCTCAGCTGTACTGACTTGCACTTACAGCTGCAAGTCAGTACTGCAAGTCATTAATCTAATCTCAGTTGGATTAATGACAGAAACTGTGAGATGTTTTCAACTTCGTGTTAAATAACACTTTGAAAGTCATTTTACATAGTGTAGGTGTGTCAATATGTTGCACATATCACAAATGATTAATTTACTAAAAATTATTTTGGTGAACATTCTCAAAACCTGTGCAAAATATTTTCTGAGTAAAATCAGTATTAAATTGAATATGTTGTTTTTTGTTATCTGTCACACAACAACGCAATAGTGACGTAGCTCTACCTGCCAGTCAAAACTCAGGATATTTTGCACTGGTAAGATGTATCGTGATGCTCTCTGTCTGTTGGCTAAGCTACCATAATTTACTCTGTTTTAAACTGAATATAAAAGTAACCATATCATTACTAACGCACTGCTGAATATATTTATGCTTGTTTTGGCCAGTGAAAATCGCTGTTTAATTCGTTAAATTTAACGGAAATTTTTCACCCATTTACATATCTTATGATCCGCTTCAGGAGACTGAGAGAGCATCTAACAGCCTGTCTGTGTGTACTGACCGTGTTCCCCGCTACTCTTATAGGTGTGTTATGGTATAAAATTGTTCATCTGGTGAGTATGTTTTACTAAAGGACTGCATAGTTTAAGTGAAAATAAGACATATATTAAAAGTGCAACTTTTTTTTCCTCATTCAGTGATTATTCTTGTGTTATGCACTCGGAGTGTGTAATATTTTGACTGTTTTGTTAGCTTTTACTCAATATTTCACATGTTACAAGGGCAAACATTATTTTGGTGTGTACATTTTATTTACAGAGGTATTTTCTTTATATATATTATGACGAAAAACCCAGGAAGCTTTTGCACTGGAGACTGAGAGAACATCAGCGTGTGTGTGTGTGTGTACTGACCGTGTCCCCCGCTACTCCTATAGGTGGAATACATGTGCAGATCCTGATGCCTGGTCTGAGTGATGTCCTTCATTTTAAAGCAACCAGATTAAAGTTGCTACACTATGTTGTATTTATTACTGTGAAGTTAGAGCAAAATCCTTTTCAATGCATATCTCAGTGAAAGCCACTTATTTTTGGATTTATACTGGAAAGTGTGATATCTTTTGAATGCAAGTCAGTACCAGTGAGATTTTGTCTGACAAGGCATGGAATGCGTTAAATAACACTTACAGAGCAGTTATATAGCTAGTTTTGAACCTTCACTTTGAAGTAACACAAAAATCCTCTTTTGAGCATAACTCAATGAGGGACATTCATTTTTGGATCTTTTGATATGTGATATCTTTTGACAGCAAGTCAGGACCAGTGAGATTTTGTCTGACAAGGCAGGGAATGTGTTAAATAACCCTTTGAAATACATTTTACTTAGGGTGTATTAATTACTGTGAAGTTAGAGCAAAATCCTGTTTCATGCATATCTCAGTTAAAGACACTTATTTTTACTTATTTATACTGGAAAGTGTGACAGTGTTCCTTGACAGTCCCCACAGCCCAAAAAAGTAAGGACACAAGTAAAAAGTAAAAAGTGAGGTAAGTTAAAAAACCTTCATGCGATTAAGCAGTGGCCATAAATTTTCCCAGGGCACTCTTTTACAAATTGAACTTAAAAATCAATTTTTATTGATTTGATAAACACTACATTGTCTGGGTAGTCACCATTTAAATTGTCATGTATGAAATGTGAGAGAAAAATCATGTCAAAAAGAGTACACCCAATACTTAGACATGGAATCTTTTGCTTTGAGGCAACATGCCTGTATCCTACCTGTTTCTCTACCCAAAGTTTGTGACCATATTGAGGGTAGGAACGTAGATCGACCAATAAATCGATAGCTTTGTTTTTAAGTTCAGCTCTCTGCATTACTGCCGACACCGCTTGATCCGCCTGTTAATCTTCCACTCCATTTTACCCCCATTTGTAACCAAGACCCTGAGATACTTCAACTTGACCACCAGGGGAAGGACATCCCCCCTGACCCGGAGGAGGCACTCTAGCCTTCTCCGGTAAGAGACTATGGTCCCGGAGGCTCTGATCCTCATCCCAGCCGCTTCACACTATGCTGTGACCTGCTCCAGCGAGAGTTGTAGAATGTGACTTGTTGAAGCCAATGGGACCACATTGTCTACAAAAAGCGGGGATGCATTTTGAAGACCACTAAGACACCTTCACCACCTTGGCTGCATCTAGAAATAATTTATTATTTATTTATATATTTATTTTCAATAACTCCACATTCTGATTTTGAGAGCATTTCTTATGTGGTAGTATGCATGTATGAGGAGTGACCAATGATGTTGAGGGACTTTTGCAATTGATCATAAAAGACTTGGTAAAATAAAATCTCTCCAAACTTTTAAGAGACAAAACAAGATGAAAAAATAAGGTTTGTGGTTTTGCACTTCATATAAGCAAAATACAGATGCTCTCAGAGCTTTCAGTGAATATATTATTAGCAACGAAACTCGTGGTATAAATTTTAGTTTATGGACCCAATGTACTGTAGCTAAATGTCTGTATGCTATTATTGAAATGTGAAGAAGACATTCAGAAGCTGAACTTTTTTCAAAATAAACAAAAAACGATGTACAAGGATTAAAGACACATTGGAAAGATGAGTAGAGTAGATGCACAGATGAATAGATGCTGAGGGGTAAATGAATAGTAGTATAGTTTACCATTGTATTAAAATGGAAATGAATGCTTAATTATTCAACAAATTACACCGTGTCATATTTCTCTTACAAAATCATTTTCAAGATAATACAAAGACAAAGCAGTTTACTTTCTGCAAATTTGCCGGTCCGACCCCAAAAAGAAGGGCACACTGTGCTTTGCACTCCATCTCCTCAAGGTGAGATACCGAAGCGTCCGGGTATTATCCATTTTACTCAACTAGTATGGAAAATGATATAGAAAACTATAAGTATAATTGTATAGGAAACTGAAGTGCCATATTGTGGAGGTTCCTCCACAATTAACCCAGTGTTAGTATTTGTTTCATGCCATACATTTATAATTTCATTTGTTTGTGTGTCTATTGTTTTAAGTTTACTATTATGGGTGCACACATTTAGTAAACGCCTTTGTTCTGTAATTATTAATTATTTGTTTGAGTTGAAGGGCTGGCTGGGAAAGAGGACTGATGGAGAGATGAACCAGGAAGTGGAACAAACCATAAGGTTGCTGGAAGGTCCTGAAACTAGAATCAGAACTAAAATTGTCTAATGAAACAAATAGAGCTAGAGATTAGTATTTTTCTAAGTCAGAAGTCAATAGCAGAGCAAAGCATCATAAAATAATCATTTGATGTGGTTTACAATTGCAATGAGAAAACCATGTGGGATGAAAGCCGTACATTCTGTATATTGTAACTTTATATCAATATGTGATGTCAGTG